AAGCAGAGGATAAACATATTATTGTCATCAGTAAGAGAGATCGACATGACAAAGTCGAAACCCATATCTCTGACAACCGTGAAATGACGTTTGAGAAAGGCTGGTCTGAAGGGTTGTGTATCTGCAAAAAAACACTACTTTGTCCACAGAACAAGAAAAAGAGATATGAATGGGCAAAAGCTCACAAAAATTGGACTTATGATGACAGAAACAAGTTTGCACTGTTTGGTTTAAAACGCAGAGTCTATGTCCGCAGACAAACTTGTAAACGTCTGAAAGCACCATGTGTTACACCCACAATTCAGCATGGAGGTAGTAGTTCCGTGGTATGGGGATGTTTTGCAGGTGATGGAGTAGGAGATTTGTTTGAAGTAAAGGATATCATGAAGAAGTAACAGTACCACTCAATCCTCCAGCACCATGCTGTTCCATCTGGACTCAGATTTGTGGCTCATAAGTTTGTTTTGCAGCAAGAAAATGACCCTAAGCATCCTGCCAAGCTCTGTCAGGGTTACCTAGACAAAAAAGAAGAGGACGGTGTTCTTCAAAATGGTTTGGCCCCCACAGTCTCCAGACCTTTCTCCAATTGAGCTTGTGCAGGATGAATTGGATCGATTGGTCAGAAAAACGCGTCCCACGAATCAGCAGTCTCTTTTTAATGAACTTAAGAAAGCTTGGAAAAAAAAAAAAAAAAAACTTGTGGAACAAATGCCTGGTATATGCCAAGCTGTTGTTAAAGCAAGAGGAGGTTACTTTAAAGAATGCAAAGTCTAAGCAACAATAACTCAAATACCTAATAATTATAGTCAAAATGTCTTCTGATAAGTTACTCTTTACACAATATTCATGTTTATTATGTTGCAAATTATGTATATGAAACTATGAGCTTTTTTTGTACAAATCTGATCTTGCTTCCAAACTTTTGGCCTGTAGTGTACATTTCTCTGAATCTATCTTAGTGTACTGTTTAAACAGACATAGAAAATGACGTGTTTAAACTATTAGGAAAGCCAGAGTAAAAGGAGTTGAGTAGTTTTGATAAGCTGCCACAACCTGCTACTTCTGTGTTAAGCTAGGCTAATTCATGCTGGCTGGTAATGGCAAATAGATTTTTTCACACTGAACAGACAAATTTCTACAAGTGTTTGACTTTTTTTTATGGGATGATAGATCATAGCTCATGAGAATTAATGGGTAAAAAAAATGGATGAAATATAAGAGTCAAGACTCCTTTTAATCGCTAACATGTCTCAGTCGGAAACTCTGGGGTTTCTTGAAAGCGCCTTAAATTTAATCCTTCTTCAAAGTGTTCTGCTGGGAAGGAGTACAGAGCAGCCAAATCGATAGATGGAGACATCCATTACTCTGCAGAAACACTGCTGTTATTCAGTTTGAAGATTCTGCTGAGACACTGGTCTAAAAATCAATTACATGCATGTAGGTGGCAGCATCCAATTAATGCCTTGCTAGCTTATGGGAATACACAGTCTGTTGAGTTGTCTGTCTTTACTCCACTCACTCGTCTGCTGTTTCTAAAAACTGCACTTTTCCTCTGCACAGCTTTTCTCTGTGTGTTGTTGATGCCCCTGGGAACACACAGCTCTAGCCCTCTTTGTCTGTGTGACTCGTCAGCCTGAGCCCGCCGAGGTGAGTCGTCTTGTTTGTGTCGTGATGCAGTCGACTTGCTGATGTCACAGTTAGTTAGGTCTCCTGAGAGAGAAGAGAGGGGACTAAACCGTTTCATCTAAATCATCATGTTTGTCAGTCACAGGGAGAGTTGGCTGAGCTCAGGATAACAGGTGATTTAAGAGTCATGTAGCAACAACTATCCTTAACATGAATAAAACATGAGAGAGATTATTGATTCATAAATGAGCCCTGCTAACTATAATCACTCTTTCTCTCTCTCTCTCTCTCTCTGAAGACCTGATTCTGTCTGCATTGCTTTCAAAAATGTGTGTTGAAATTCTCTTCACCTCCAAATATCCCTTTTCTATTTCACTTTCTCATCATCTTTGCGCTGCTCCTGTCTCATCTCATTTATATTTCCAAGGATTGTTTCTTGCGATCCCTCTTCTTCACCCCTACATCACCTTCAGCCTGTTCATCCCTTTGCCAGACATCCTTATGCATTAACCTGTCTTTTTCTTTATGTTGGATCAACCATTTCCCATCGATAAATCTCTCATCAATCAGGCTAATATCTCTAATCAGTGCACTGCAAAGACTCAAATTTTGTATTTTGCTTACTTCTAGTTAATTAACTTATTGCACCTAACAGAAGTCATATTCACATCACAAGTCAAAAATAAGCAGTAGTCCAAAATAAATCCTTAATTTCTGGTGAAGAGTAACATTGTCATCTGTAGCAGATTTCAAAGCTGCAAAAACCTCCCAGTGGTATTTTGATAGTTAAGAATAACAGAAAAAATGACTGGATCAACTATTTTAGATGTGAAATGCCTGCAGTTCATTGAAAACGGGGGATCCTGCTGCCTGGGTGAACACTTGTAACCCAAGTTCATTTTAACAACACTGTTAGACATGAGCTACATGACACCCTGTGCAGTGCTTCAGGCTAAAGAAACTGGCACAGATAACACACCAGTGACTCAGTTCAGACTCCCATTATGAGTATGCTTCACTGCTAGTTCCATTGGATAATGTGCATGTCAATTTTTGAGTACCATGATGTGACATGAGTGTGATGTGACACAGTATTTCCTATTCACTGACAATACCTGGGAAGGTTTCCCAAGTATATTTTAGCTGTCAGTCAAATCAACAACTGGTTTTACATTTATTTTTTTCTTCCTTTTAACCTTTTAAAACTACCACCCGTTATTGTTGATTTTGTGATCCCCCTCAGTCCTTGTCCCTGTTTCTGATAAATTGCATTGTCGTGACACAGGCCCTGCATGTGAGAGAAAGAGGTCGGTCAGTGGATTCCCCATGTTAATACACTGATTTAGGAGCAAAATCTATTGCTGTGGTTTTAAATGTTGTGTGCAGCTGGTTGTTGCAGATTCCCCTCTGCACTATCAAAGTGTGGTTATTTGCTTAATGCCACATGAATAACAAGCCTTGTTCACAGGCAGATCACCTTCTGTGATAATGGAAAGTTGAGTGCAGCAAGAAAAAAATTCTGAATGAGTCTTTTTGGAACAAAATTAGTTTTAGACCTTGTTTAGTTTTTACTCATGATAAGAAATCCAGGGATGTACTTTTGACCAAGTGTATCTTCAAATGAGATTTATTTCTTGGCTTGTTTAGTGAATGGGACTTACAAGTATTGAGATGTTTTCAGATATGTTTTCTGAAATTTGCTGTGTAAATCAATTATTTTGGTTTAATGGTGCAACACACAGACTGTATATACTATGGACAACTTGGCTCCGCCTCCACCATTATATGAAATTGAAGCTGATTGCTCTCTGCATTTCTGGGATTTTCTCCACTTCCTGGAACCACCAGAGAGTGGAGAATGCGCCAAATGCGTGCATTAGGCAGGAGAGTTGCTGTGATGACGCTCGGCTCAAACAGTGTATCCTCCAGGTGAAAACTACGTAAACTTTGTATGCCCATAGGCTGTATCAAGTGTCAATCATAGAAAACATGAACCCCCTAATAACATTTAAAAATGGAGCTGCACAGAAAAAAAGACTTGAGCACAAACCAGTCTTACAGTAATTACATGTCAACATTGCAACCGGGGGGACAGAAATGTATATTATGTGTAATTAATTTCTAAAGTTTGTCTACAGCTCCATACGGATTGCTGGAGGATTTATTACCTATTCTGCAGCCTGTCAAGAGGGTGCTGTTCCCGAAGTGGCTTCACCCAGCGAGGAGGCAGACGCTGTCTATATATAGTCTAAGGTCTCACCACAGTGTATAGAGAGCAGAAACAGGCTGTACTTTTTGCTACATTTCCTCAAGAGGACTTCTGACCCAGCTGTATTAAACACTTAATTTTATTTGGTCAAGACAACATGAAAAAAGCTGTCAGTTATATCCCTTCTGCCTGTTGACTCTGTGAAAAAAACAAATTGGACCTTCTGTTAGCACGCTAAACTGGCTAACAGCATGGGAGATTTTTGATGGTTATTTGAATTTATTTGCAGAGCATAAAGTTTTAATGGCCATCTAGCCACAAGCAGAGAAAGAAAAGAAAAGCAGCACTTGAGTGATAAGGGATGTCATGAGACACAAGGAGCTCAGTGAAGAAACCAAATTAAAGAAGGCAGACACAAAGCAAAGACCAAACAGAGTAAAATATAGGCTTCACTTTCTCCAGCTCTATCTTCAGTGCATGGAAATATTCAATTTAATGTTATTTATGATGGATGGGGGGGATAACATTTTAATTACCATGACTGGGAATGGAAATATGAAGTCTTACATTAAATCAACTTATAATTTAGCTGATCAGAAGACTCAAGCGTGAACAGCCATCTGCCATGACCAGATTGATAGAGAAATTGGAATGAAGAGAAATGCAAAGAAAGAGGGAAATGGATGGAAACAAACATACAGGAAGGTAAACATATACAAACACCAGCAAAAGTACTGAATAATGATATTAAATAATTATAGAAATGTTGGTAGTGAAACAAAAGGATGACTGAGGATAAACAGGCATGAATAATAAGCAGCAGGTATCCACAGGCATCTGTGAGGGAGCACATAGGCCTTCATCTTGGTTTTCTGTATGAACAGGGTCATGTTTGTTTGTTTTTTTTTCCAACTGTGTCAAAAGAAGGAATGTAAATTCCAAACCTGTTTGTGAGAATTTGAGGTGAAGGTATAAACAGCAGACCACAGGAGTGTACTTTATTTAGCAGAGGTATTTCTCCTTGATGGATCTGTGTATAAACTTTCAAGTGGAATTCCTCTGAGGACTGATCCTCTCTTTTGTCACTCTTCTGCTGTTTGTTTTTCTCTTACCACGCAGTTACAACACTTCTACTTTTATCATCCACCAGAATCTCTCCTTCATCATGCCTGCCATAGTCAACCTCCTCTTCAACGTCATCTCCACCAATACCACCATCTCCTTTAGAGCGGTGCTGCCCATGTTTAGCCTGGTCTCTCTCCTGGTGGGGGTCGGAGGTCACCTCCTGCTATGGTTGGTTCTGGTGAGAAACCCTCGCAGTCGCTCCAAGCCAAGCTCTGTCCTGCTACTGAACCTCAGCCTGGCAGACCTGGGCGCCCTGCTCACCCTGCCATGTGTCCTGCTCAGTGCCAGCTTTCTGGACTGGCAGCTGGGTGGAGGGACTTGCGTCCTGCTGGGATTCATGACCTCAGTGACAGCAGGAGTGGAAATCTTCAGCTTGGCAGCATTGTCTGTGCTAAGGTATCGCATTGTCGCACCTTGGACAAGACCACCTGCTAATTTAACAAAAGTGTAAGTATCAGACAGATCAATAGTTGATATGGCAGGAGGTTGATCACTGTGAGTGGATGGATCAGGTATGGTAGAACGATAGTATGTGCACCACTGTGTGTTTACATGTAAGGTTTATGCAACTCTGAATTATGAAATCACACCAGGACACTAGTATAAAGTCATATGAGATCAAAAGTTTTATCATTCTCATCGATACCATTCACAACTAGAGCAGGTGCTTCTGTTTTCATGTCTGTTGACATAACCTAAAAGAGTAATTAACAAATAAGGAGACAAACACTTATGGGTGGGTGTTTGGTAGACTTTCAGATGTGCTGGTGACACCCACTTGTGTGAGCAAGAGAAGCACATACAGGTAACTAATAAGCATACGATTCAAAAAGTGAGCGTGTGTACTATATGGGTCCAGAGCAGGATACACTCATTCATTCGTTCTGTACAGAGCCCACAAATGGTTCTTTATTAATCCAGATGGGCTAGCCTAACATGTTTCTCAATGGAATTGACAGTTGCCAGTAAGGATCCTGAATGTCAGCCTAAGTGTTAACACAGGTACAGGATATTTTTAGCTTGCATCGTGTCAGTTTGTATTTATTTTATGTGCTTGTGATTATCAAGGTTGGAGAGTTAAGTTAAGTCAGGGATACTAAGCCAGTGGTTACAGAAAAGAGAGTCCTCATGAGGTGAGACAATTTAGCCCAAGAATAGTTAAGAGTGGATATTTCATACAACCAGAAGCTAACTATGCATGTTTCGGCTTATTACCCAGCTATCAAAGACACCAACAAGTTGAGATTGAGTATTGATCCCAAAATGATTTTATTGATTTTATTGAATTATAGTATTTAAATGTATTTATTTAGTTAGTTAGTTAGTTTTTGTTTTCTGCAGTCCCTTGGTTTTGGTTTTGGTGTTTGGCAGCACTTTATTGGTAAACCACCTCACTTGAATCTTACTGGCTCACTTTTGGGTCAAATGAATATTAAACTAAAAAAACTCATTCACTGTAAAGTTTGCATCTTTTCGTTGGCATTCTTGACAAATTCTGAGAATAACATTCACACCTGGCAGATCTCATTTCTTAAAACTGTTAGAGTGTGTTGACATTTTCTTTTCAATTACTCGTGCCAAAACCCATACAATGATGTAGCTGGTGGTTGCTTGATGTCTGTTTTCCTCAGTTTGATTGATGTTTCTTTCACAGAGCTCCTTTCATGTTTCAACATCTCATCTCTTTCTTAAAAAAAAGACAACAAATTACAAATATTTTTAAAAAAGTCCTCTTTATTGTTCATTGAGGCTTTTGGATAGTAAAGTTTTTGCTGACAAGGAGAGGTGAAAACAGCAGTGAAAAGATGTGCTGTGGCTCTTTTTCGTAGATTTACTTGATATGTGCGGCATGATATTCTCTCTAGTATCACTTTTACTATGAGAACTCAATCAATCAAATTCAAATTTTATTTATATAGCGCCAATTCACAACAGTCGTCATCCCAAGACGCTTTCCAAAGAACAAGAGCAGGTCTAGACCACACTTATTGTTGGATAAATTATCAAGACCCAACCTAAGATGGGATTTGGCCCATCTCATCTAACATGAGTGACAGAGGCAAGGAAAAACTTCCTTTTAACAGGCAGAAACCTTGGGCAGGACCAGACTTATGTTAGACAGCCACCAAGCCGCTGCTGGGTTGGAGAGGAATACAGAGAGATAGGGGGAGAGAAAGAGAGATAGAGGAGTTGAGAGAGGGGAGGGGGAGAGAAAGAGAACAAGATAGAGGGAGGGAGAGAATAGGTAAGGGAGAGGGAGGGAGAGAGAATAGACAATGAGGGTGAGAGGGAGAGACAGGGGACAGCAGCAAACTGGTAACCATTGCCAGGTAATTCAGGATTTACTTAATTTCAAGCATCAAAAAAGAAGCAAATACAAATCAGCTACAACATAACTGATTAGAAATCTTAGTAATGTGCATAGATGTCATCTGCAGTCTCTTTTACTTGCTGTTCCTAAAGGACAAGTGCTGACCATGCTGAACTTAACAATTCTTTAGACAGAAACGAGTCTGTGACACTATCAACAAGACAATCATCTTAAACAGGTGATTCAGTGATTCTCTTATCTAATAAGATGTTCACGTGCCTGTAAACAATGCCTGATTCAATCTCAGCACACACAACAGGAATGCCAGAGAAGCATAAGCAGTCTTCAATATCACAGGTCAATGCAGACATCATAGATTAAATTGTTGGCTTATCCGACATAATTAGATTCTCATGACCCCTCCAATCAGCCAAAACTCTACGTTTTCTTGCAGTATTTGTCAACCTCCCAGCATAGATGTGACCCTGCTGCAGAGTAAATGATCCTCTCTGTCCTTGTCCTTCTCAGGTTTTGCTCTGTTGTCATCATATGGCTGGTCTCAGTAACCATGGCATTACCCAAGGTCACCTACATCAACTTTGATGGGGGTTGCACTTGGGCAGTAAGTCGTGATGAGTGGCTGTTCTTCCTGGTTCCTGCGTTCCTGGTGTATTACGTGGCTCCTCTGCTCTGCATCGCAGTCAACTGCGGCCTCATTATCTCTCACCTGCACGGTTGCAGGAGGACTCTGGCTGCGGACAGACGCAACAAGAAGGCCACTGCTCTACTGATTGCCTCCACGCTGGTGTTTGCTCTCAGCTGGTTGCCGTATTATGCACTTGAGTTTGTTAACGTCATGTCACCTCATGTGAGCTCAGTTGCTTCTCCTATTAGGAGAGTAAATGGACGTAAACTAACATCAACTTTGTCCCCGTCATATTTATCTTTCTCCTCTCCTGAGCCGACAGAGACAACACAAATAAGGGTCTCCTTACTGTGGGAAGTGGCATCCCTATCTGCCATATTATTAGTGTGTTTTGCTCCATGCTGGAACCCGCCACTCTACTTCCTTCTTTCGAGTCCAGCTGTGCGTCAGCTCCGGGCTCTGCTGCCTTCGTTCTTCCATAAACATTTTAGGAAAAAGCCTGTGCAGCGATGGCGTATTGCTCCTGTTCCTCCTCCTCCCGCTCCTCCTTGCCTGCCACACCCTCAGCTGTCTGCACCCACACTCTCTCACCAAACTCTGACACACAGGCTGACTCAGTTAAGATAGTACACACACTCATTTGCTCGCTCACAAATTGCCTGGATACAAGTCAGAGCCATCATTGCCAAAACGCTGCTCATCCAAACACATGAGTCAGGATATGCCTGATATTTAGACAGTGAATTCTGCTGGGCCTACACAAAGGGAAGGAAAGATCAGCTCCATAATCATTCTGTGTAATTTTGGTGTTACATTTGAATGCTGTATTTTCATATTAGTAAACTGTAACCAAATCTCCAAATCGCTTTTTTTTTAGCTAAAAAAATTATCATGGCGCCTGGCTTCTACATATTGAAACAACACTACTACATTGATTTTTTTCTATTGGCTGATCTGGTGCACAGTGGCATATCTGGTACATGACTTTGTCAGCAATCCTTACAAGCATCAAACCACTGAAAACACTGAAAGATGCCCGCTCACTTCAGTGCATCACTTGTAGTCTTTGATTTTAGTCTTTTCAATAAAAATGTCGATCTATAGTGTGTATTAAATTAACAGTATATCATCATTTGCTTTAAATGTATTAATTTTTCATGATTGAAGATACATATCTTTAAAAAGCGGATACTGTTTGCAGTGCATTGGTTAAACCTTATCTTATTGGATATAAAATGTCCTTTTTAACCCTTTGATGCGCAACATGGGTCAAAAAAGACCCGGCTGAGTTTAAATTTCATATATCTTTTCAATAAATTAATTCCATCAGTCGGTACTCAAGGAATTCCTCAATAAACTTGTTTTTGATGACCCTACATCCTTATGTTAATTTTTCTTTTTTTACTTTTAGAATAAAAACCGTTTTTGTATCACTACCCCTCTAATGCACAACATGGGTCTAAAATGACCCGTATCCATTTTCAATGTTATTTCATGTATGGCTGAGTGTTTCTATGGTATATCTTTGAAATAAATTAATTTTATCATTAACTATTCCAAGTATGCAGTAAAGATCTTGTTTTAGTTGAGCACAAATAATCATTTTTATTTTTCCTTTCTTATGTTATGAGGAAGCACAGCTTTTGTATTTCTACATCAAGTTTACATACATGGGTCAGAAACGACCCACATATAGTGACTGTAGCATTTAGCATGAAAAGACCGTCTAACACATGTAAGTATGGTTTTTCAATTGTTCTGACATTATCTTAGAAATTATTTGATGACAATTGTGAAAGATAATTGTACATAGATTTGATTAGGTTTAGATTACCTTGAAAGTGAGGACATTACATGTTGGAAAGTTACAAAGTTACAGGTAAAACAGCTAGCGTTATTTCAGCTAGCTATAATCAGACGCATGTGTATGTGACAAAATGACAAATAAACATGTTGCTGATACAAAATACATAAGTGTTTGGCCCATAGACTGTATATAGAATGGACAGCGTCTGCCTCCTTGCTGGGTGAAACCACTCCGAGAACAGCACCCCCTGTTTACAGGCTGCAGTATAGGTCATAAATCCCGCCTCCTCCAGCAAAGCTTATGGAGCTGTGGACAAACTTTAGAAATTTATTACACAGTACATGAATTTTTTCCCCCCCTGCTTGTGATGTCGACATGTAGTTATTGTAGGACTGGTTTGTGCTCAAGTCCTCTTTTTTCTGTACAGCTCCGTTTTTAAAAGTTATTAGGGGTTCATGTTTTCTATGATTGACACCTGCCATAGACTGTATATAGAATGGACAGAGTCTGCCTCCTCGCTGGGTGAAGCCACTTCGAGAACAGCACCCTCTGTTGATGGGCTGCAGTATAGGTCATAAATCCCGTCTCCGCCAGCAAAGCTTATAGGGCAGTGGACAAAATTTAGAAATTAATTACACAGAACATAAATTTTTCTCCCTCCTGATTGTGATGTCGACATGTAGTTACAGTAAAACTGGTTTGTGCTCAAGTCCTCTTTTTTCTGTGAAGCTCCATTTTTAAAAGTTATTAGGGGTTCATGTTTGCTATGATTGACACCTGATACAGCCTATGAGCGTTCAGGGATTGCGTAGCTCTCCCAGGGGATATGCTGTTTGAGCCGAGCGTCATCACAGCGACTCTCTTCAACTGCGCGGTTGAATGCACGCATTGCTACTGCGCAGCACTGGTTTCAGGAAATGAAGAAAAATCCTGGAAATATCGAGAGCTATTTGGCTTCAAATCCATATACAGGCGGTAGGCGGAACCAAGTTGTCCATAGTATATACAGTCTATGGATACAGCCCATGGGCGTTCAGGGATTGCGTAGCTCTCCCGGGGGATACGCTGTTTGAGCTGAGCGTCATCACAGTGACTCTCGGCGACTGCGCGGCCGAATGCGCGCATTGCTGCTGCGCAGTGCTGGTTTCAGAAATGTAGAAAAATCCCGGATATACCGAGAGCTTTTTGGCTCCAAATCCGTATACAGGCGGGAGGTGGAACCAAGTTGTCCATAGTATATACAGTCTATGGTTTGGTCCCACTCACTGTTAACTTCATTACTTGAAACAAATTATTATTATAGTGTTAGGTAATTCAATATTAAATCACACTTGGATGAATGGGTCATTTTTGACCCATGTGTGTAAACTTGATGTAATAATATAGAAACTATATTATTTCATAAAGTATGAAAAGAAAAATAGAAATAATGATCAGTGGTGATCAAAAACAAGATATTTAAAGAATACTTGGAATATTCAATCAGAAAATAAACTGATTTCAAAAGATAGAACAAAGAAAAACTCAGCCAGCATGAAATACCATTGGAAATGAATGCGGGTCTTTTTAGACCCATGTTGCGCATTAGAGGGGGTGTGGATATGTTGCGCATCAAAGGGTTAAACATGTTTGTAGATCTAACATGAGCATATCTTGTAATGTAAATGTATCATATCGAAGAAACACTTGACAAAGAGGATCTTTTCAGATTATTTAAGTTTTTAGTTGCCAAAATAAATATTTCTCAACCGTGTAAAATGATCTTGTTTTATTTTAAAAATATCCGTCAACAAGATAAATCCAATTTTAGCATGTCAGTTTGTTATAATGTTCCCATATCTTTATGACAGTATGTCCTTAAAACATTTAAAATATTGTTTTAGCAACTATATATAATTATTGCAAACTATCTTATCATCTGGAAGAATATGATTTTGTTTTCATTTTTTGTTTTATTAAAAAAAAAGCAAAAAGATAACATAATTAAGGCATGTAAGCTTGTTGTTTAAACAGGAATTCATCTGGTATTTAACATGGGTTAGGTGTAAAAGTTAATATCTTGTTTTACATTGAACCTAAAAATGCAAAAGTACCTTATTATTTGGAAAAATACCTGGTTTTGAAGTAAATATATCTCAAGATATCATTTTTTAAAATTTGTCGTAACCTGTTTTGATACAAAACATTTTAACTACCTTAAAAGTTTATTTTTGTGATGTAAAAATTTCTTATTGTAGTATAAAATAGCATGTACTTCTGTGAAAATTTCTTGTCTTTTTTTTCAAAGTTATGAAAATGTCAGATTTAAGCATGTTTAAACTGGATTTAACATGAGAACATTTTATTTTATCACTTAAATAAACTGGTTTTGCATCTCATTTTTGTCGACAATATTCTGGGCTCTAATTTCGTGCTTCGCCGGCGACGTGGTGCAGGCGCGGCGGACCTGACTTACGCCGCGCCTGCAGCTGACAAGGAATTCTCAAGCACATTTAGGTATTTTGGTGAGCGGTGCAGCCCGGTGTAAGTATCCCCCCCTCCCTAGCTCAGCTCCTGCCAGCAGCGTAAGTCGTAGCGAGGGAGAAGAGAGGGCGTGGAGTGGGTTTAACACAGCCGAGACCTGTATTGACCAATAACATCAGCTCCTCTCCTCGCCTTTAAATCCGCCACTGGCGAGGTGTATTACAATTTTCCTGAAGTAGTTAAAGAGATCAAGAGATGTCTGAAGACAGTAATGCCACACGAGTGTCAAGTGTCACTGTAAGCGCTGCAGAGGGTATCCTTCACGCTGTCTCATATAAGCATAGAGGGATTTGGTGTGTGTAAGTTTGGACCCACTGCTAAGACAAACACCCTTTTCCCCAAAAAAAGACAATCGCATAGAGTTGCATATATTCAAACCTCACGTGACAAAGGTGGGTTGTGCGCACAGATCACAACATAAATTCCAATAATGGCATTAAAATCAGAACCATCTATGCGTAAAGGACGCATCGCGCTCCATGGCCTGGCTCTTTCTTTCATAGATGTTGGCATATAAAATAAATTTGGCTCACAAAACTGAGTATTATAATATTCATATGTAGGCTTAAAGTAAATAACTCAACTGATCACTGAAACAAATCATCTGTTCAGCCGCCGCAGCAGCAGGATGAGGAGAGGACATGGAGACATGTTCAGGTCAAGCTGTGCGAGAAATAAGAGGAAGAGACGGAGAGAAAAGTAGGGAGACGAATTCTATATCTTGTTCACTTCATCATGTGCGTCTATTTACTAGATATTTAATTTAATTTAATGCGGTTTCAGCTGTGTCGATTCGGTCAGGTTGAGTGTCCAAACGCGTGCCAAACGCGCTCATCAGATCAGATATAGATCAGAATATATCTGTATAGATCTAAATGTATGTGCCCACTTAGATTATTAGTTGTTAATTATTTATTGCACTGAAATGTGCCTGACACTGTGGAAACCTGCTGGTGAGGCATCGGTGACGTATGCCGATACACCGCTGGTCTACCAAAATACCTCTAGACCAGCTGCACTCCAACTGCGCTGAAAGCTGACCAGGTTTGAATCAGCGAGTTTACTTTATACGCCACCAGCGAACACGAAAATGTCACTGTGCCAGCTGATTCTGTCGAAACCTCCCCCTGCCACGCCACCACGCCCAGCTTGGCGGACCTCGTTGCGCCTCAGTCCACGAAAATACCAAACTGGCTGTACGAAAATACCACTGTGCAGGGACCGCCACCCTCCGCCGTGTCCCTGGCGGATACGAAAATAGAGCCCAATGTCATGAGGAAGAAAGTATCTTGAAATATCGGTATGATGTATAAATATATCTCTTGTAAAAACACTTTTCACTCCATAAAATAAAACTGATTTCTTTTTGCAGGGGCAGCAGCGAAAGGTTGCTGTGAAAGCTTACTGTGATGCTTTAGCTTGTTGATTTATATAATAACCACATCCTTTTTTTTTTTTACAATATCATAAAGGTATAAAAGGCTCCGGGCTACAGTGTATGAACCCCTCAGATATGTGACACTGTATCATAAACAGAGAGAATTATGTGCCATAAAAGCTGAAGGATACCAGAGTCACCAGGCGACTTACTGATTTAACAAGGTGAAGCTTACAGACAAGGAGAGGCTTTGATTTAGAAAAATTGAGAGAAACTTTCAAGTTTAAACAAGTATTCCCCTCTGTCCCTATATCAAAGTGCACAGCAGTGTTTACAAAACCAGGCCACTGAACCTAAAAAGATATGTCAGGTGCTCTCACATTGGACCAAATCCAAACTGGCTTTGTATTCAGTAAGAGGAATGTATGCTGTATCTAAGTTCCCCGTGGAGCTTTGGAACAACCATAAACCACAATAAAAACAGCATCTGATGATTTCAACATATAGCATGAGCACAGCAGGAAAACAGCTGTGCTTGTTTTAAGAAGCCCCCATAGGATGTCTTTACATTACATCCAGTAGATTACAACAAGCCATGCAACCTTGTAACCCTATTACTGCGCCGTCTGAGACTGTGGGACACATGCTGCCTTCCTGTAAAGCTCCCAGTAAAGCTCTTCAGTGCCATCTTAACAACCTCATGAAAAAGGCCTCTTTGACTCATGAAAGGAACTAATATAGTCTGACTTGTTTTATTCAAAGCTTCTGAATGCAAAGCATGCTTATTAAAAAGGTTTTGACACTTCTGATGACTGCACAGGAAAATTACTTCCTAACAAGTGGAGCCCAATCTGCATCCAGAGTGATTTAATACCGTGATGTGATGGTTGTGTCGTGTTGCCGCAGTGGCTGTGGATGTCTGATAAATTGGCTCAGTGCTAGTAATTGGATTTTTGTTGCCAGGCTATTTATCCTGAGAGATATAAAACATGATTTGAGTTTATTAGGAGGACTGAACCACTTAAACTGTCATGAAATATTTCAAAATGACTTTGTTTTGCCGCTAAACTGGAAATTGCTTAATTTTGTTATCTAAAATTATAAGGATCATAATTGAAGCAGTAGCTAAACATTTTGGCAACCCATTAACTGTCATGCCAAGATTAAGACAACAGATTGTCACCTTTTTCATAAGATCTGTAAGCTGGATATGAAGCTGTAGCAGCAGCAGGCTAACCATGTTATGCTAAGGCTAAAAAGAGAGCAAGCTAGCTGGCCTTGCACAGTCTGATGATAACGAATCTTTCTTACCAGACCTCTTTTAGCTTAAAAGTCTCGAAGGTCAGATCAATAAAGAAATGCATCGCTCACCTCCATCTAAATATCCTCTGGCAGAGTACCACTGCGGCACATTAGCCTGTTAAATTTGGCAGAAATATATTTTTTTAAAGAATGCCATTCATGCACATAAAGTTCAAGGTCGATAGAAGTCCCTCTTAAACTACAAAAAATAAAAATCGTAACTTTTAGGCTCCCCATAGCTGATCTCAACACTTAATGTTGCTCATTTCTTTCTTATAAATGCTAATATTCAAAATGAACTAACAGTAAAACACCAAGTTTTGACTTCTTAGATTGCTCCAGTAATTATCACAACTTAAAGGATAAAGGAAAATATTGTTGCCTTTGGGCTAGCTAACAGCACTAGCTGTTTGTTCTTGTCTTAAGTTAGGCCTAGCTAAACTAAGTAAGCTTGTGTCTGCCATTAGCTTCATATTTAGTGGATTGATATATGCTACATGTCAACTTTAGAGAAACCAAAACGCGGGGGTTCTCATGACAGCTTTTCATGTACCAAATCTATTGACTTTGAGGCTGTGGTGGTTCCCAAAGTGGGATCTGGACCACCTGAGGATTGTAGGACCACTTTGGAGAAGTCAAGCCTAAATTTGAAAGACTTTGAAATGGCAAATAATAATTACTACATTATATATAAATGTAGGAAAAAATTTTGCTCATCTTTTGATAGAGCATTTTAAATAAAAGATGTGTCATCAGTTTTATATCTTTCATCCTGTTTTGCTGTTTGTTACAGGCTGAGGACCAAGGACAAGCAGCATTAGAGACATGGTGACATGCAGGCATATGTCTGCCAAGTTCCTTTGAGTTGTTCTATGTCTGTTTTTGGCTTGGACTATTTGTGCTTGAGTATTGCTGTTAACAATGTTCAACGACTGCCAGGTACAACGGATCCTCTCAATCTTTTAATGACATTATGTTCTTTAGTTAATGAAATCCTCTGGACCATCATCCTGAAACCGTTAATTTATTTGCTCACTCAGTGAGCTGACCAAGCCTCTTTGAAGTGCCCTTTTTATTCCATTTTTATTACAAACCTCTTCAAAAATTAATGGATTTAGATGACAAATGGTTCTCCTACTTTTCAAGCATTATCCAACTTTTCCTGGGCCTTTTTTCTGCCTGTCATAATTGTTTTAAAATGTTTTGTCTGGCATCAAGTTGAAAAAAAGCCTTTCTTTCTCATAAAACATCAACATTATTGTTTGTTTAAATGGAGCTTTGCATGATTTGCAGACCACCATATTCCATTTTTATCAACATTTCATATAGCTCTCCAACTTTTACAGAATCATATGATTTTATATGTTTATATATTGAATCTATAGTTAGAGATCAGAGGAGGGCAGCTTTTCCTCATGTGCAAAGATTTGTTGTGCTACTCCTCTTTTGCTTGTCCTTGAACCCTTGGACAAAATATTGAACCACAAATTGT